TAGTGAATAATATCAGAACAGATTCTGATACAAATTAGTGTATTCAATTTTGTTCATTTTTATTAAGATAAAAAAGCAAGTACTTTTATTTTAATAAAATAATCAATGTACTTGTCTACATCATTTTTTTCTCTCTTCTACTTCTATATGGAAATACCAAATACAATTAGTTAAATTTAAACATTCTAACATTAAATGCTTTTAATTCATAGGAAGACCTTTCTGATAGAATTCTTTGCTTCAAGAGATGGGTAAACTAAATGAACATATTGGCTGCTGCACTTAGCTGTCATCTCTCAGAAGGCTGTATGAGTAAGCCTGACATACTTCATCTCCCATATTATCGTCATCTACTTGCTTTTGTTATTGCCTCCTGTGTTAAGTTTTATGGCATCTTCAGTAAAAGAAATACAAGTGAAACCAATTGTGGCACAGTAAATAAATAAAATAATGAGAAGAGAGGTTTCAGAAATGATCATGAAGGTTATGTGCAGACTGCTTTCGTTGCTATAATATCAATGCATGAGAGTCACGTAATACACGTCTCAGGACTTTTCTGTATTTGATGCTTGTCCTGAGCTAGACACAAATAATTCGCAGCCGTTCAGTATTTCAAAGCAGAATGTTGACACAAATACCAAGTATCACAATGATTTCACCAAAAGAAAATAGATTTTATCAAGGGGAACAGATTTCTTAAGCAACAAAATTATAGAAGCTAAGGTTTGGAAATATATTCTCTCATCCCATCCTTCTCTTTACCTCAGCAGGATAGTTCTTTATAACACATTTCCATAGTGTTCTGCAACTCATTTGTAAGAGTGCATTCTGGGGGCAGGATGTCTGCAGGTAATTACACTGGACACTGTCCCAGGAATGGAGTCAGCACGTGTAGACCAAAGAAAGGAATCTCTGACTGCATTACATAATTCAGGATCATTACCTGGGCAGTGCTCGCAGGCCCCACACAGTAAATCTCAGCGTGGATGATTACACAGAGTAAAAACAAAATGCTTGAACACATATTGTACACTATCAGATGTAAAAGAGAGATGCTAACCCAACTAGCACGAGGATCCTAAGATGAAAGGCTCAAAAAGTGCAACAAGTCTTTGATATAAGCAAATATAAGCAAATCATTTACAGGTTTGCATAGATCTCAACAGGACCTGTTTTCACATATCTTATATTTCTTTTCATTTATTAAATGTAAACTAGAAAGCTTCAAGCAAACATTTAAAAGTTTCTGGCTATGATGCTGTAGGATCAATAACTGGATGGGGAACACCTGTCTTGCACACATAGCACGGAAAACTGTTTACTATGGACACCTTTCCCTAGAGCTCAATAGCTAACATGCCTCTCCTGGAATTCCTGCTCCCACTAGCAGCCTCTTGGAGTTCAGATTCCCCTCAACTCTCACTGACCTTTTTATCTAGCAGGCAGTTCACACCCCAAGTGCACGTGCTTCGAACAGCAATAAGCTGGACTCAGACAAATGCCCTCCCATCTGCTCTTCTACGTGAGCATCCCATTCACCACATGACACCTCCCAGAAGGTACTGCTGGGTGTTTGCTGGATGGCATTCTACACCTCAGGTAATCTGAGCTTGATTCATCTCTGAACATCTTGACAAGTGCATTAGCATCAGACTTGCTAATTACAGTGTTCTGTTGTCAGCTGCTACCAGCTTTGGATAGCCTCCTCTGCTCATACTAGCATTTGGCTTTTTCTTACAGAGGTCTTCAGCACTGCTTCATATAAAACACAGGTTTTCAGTTGACAAGAGATGTATTTTCATGCAGAGTGAGAGCACAGCCATTTAAACTGAAATAAGACTTCATGATTTCGAGCAAGAAAAGGTATAAGGAGAAAGCAAAGCCTATGTAATACAGAGCTTTTCCCACAAGCAAAAACTTTGATCAGCTCAGTCAACGTAACGAAGAAACACAACAGTCGGTCCTGCAGTACTTAATCCATTACTGTTCCTTTGATATCACAAGCATCATTATACTTAGCAGTATGCCTCCATTACAGCAATTTTCTTCTAAACACACAGCACTGTCACCAATTGCCAAATGTACTGTGGTCCCTTAAATTACACCCAGCTTAATAGAGCAAGATCAACCACTGTGAAACAAATATACAAACTGTCAGTTGTTCTAAAGTTCCCAGGAAAAGCGCTATCAGCATGACTAACAGCAGTGATGTGGTTCATCACACCCCAGCTCTGCTCAGCTGGCAAAAGGGCCCCTGAAGGCCATGGCAGGTGAGGAGGACTGAAAACAGAGCCTGAGAAAGTTTTAATTTATGCTGAGAGGATCATGTCTCATCCTTAGTAAAATCTAGGCTATGAGCTTCTGAAGCTGAGGTAAAAAAAAAACCCTTTGTGTAGATAGGGGGTTGTTTTTCTTTCTTATCTTTGCTTACTATTTTTATGACTATTGTGGAGTTAGTTAAAATGCATCCTTTCACCTGTTTTAAGCAAAATAAGTACATATTTAGCCGCCATCTGTATTACCCAAAATTGAAAAATCTTACTTGTCAAAACGAAAACAAAACATAGTAATACTGTGAAAGCATTTGCTGAAGAGTAACTCCTTGTGGTGCATTTAATAATGCTTGGGTGGCACTTCTGAGAAAAGTGCTGCGTGGTGTCACAGCATGGCAGGCAGGTCCTTCACAAGGGCACAGCATGTGTATTCTTTATTGATCTCATCCTTATCAGTGAACTGTACAGCAAGAACTTCCATCCAAAACAATGAGGGACTGGAGCTGTTGATTTTTTCACAAATATCTGAGGTAGGTTGCTGTCTGTAGTGTTTTTGTTTGTTTTTGTCACTTCTGTCACATTCTTTAACAGTCTAAATTAATCATGCAGGTGAACTTGCTGGTTTTTATTACTCACAGCAGGCTGTATTTGCGATAGCTGAGAGTGTGACATTGCTCAACTAGTGGGGTCCCTTTCTGTTTTTTTTCTAATGTTTTTGTACATTGAAATGTACTAATGCTCTACTTCTAAATACAGGCTGTGCTTCTGCTGCAATGCACAGTTTATTCAATTTATGGCAAATAAAAGATAATTGTGCTGTTAAAATAGAAGTACGGTGTAGGAAAAGGTTCTCTAACTGAAGACAATCAGAAGAGCTGAGGGCTCTCTAATCCGTGCTACTGATAGCTTTAAAATGCTGTTTAGTTTTTACTTTGCATAGGACCTGATAATGAGCATGAAGCATAAATAGTACAGGTAAATTCCATCTCAAGATGTTACATCAGACTGCAATTTAGTATCAAGGGATTTGCAGGAATTCCTCCAGGGCTGAAATGGCATTGCATGACCACTGGATGGCCAGTTACTGCAATCTGGTATCAGTCAACAGGCAGGAGGCCCTGGGAAGTTCCAGGCCGTTGTTCTAATCCCCTACCTTGCTGCAGTGGGAAGGGACTTGAAACATAGACCCTTCCCAGCTTATGTTTAAAGTGCCTCTACATATGTGGAGAAAAGTAAGATATCTGGGAAGGAAGGTTAGTATGGATCTGGCTTATGATGCATCTTGGATAATTATGAGTGCCTTACGATGCTATCAGCAGACTTTGGAAATCATATTTGAACAACTACTGAAGCCCCTGAGCATGGCTTCTGTTACCTAGAGCAGTTTCTGACAGGTTCAGAAATGGGGAAGTTAGGCTGTAGTGGAGAGCAGCTTATCAAAATACAACAAATAGAACTGTCACCATGATGCAGGAGCCAAGAAAGAGGAACCAGTTTTCTAGTTGTGTTCGTGCATGGAATTAAGCTTGAAATCTGTGGATGTTTGTAATTGAAGTGAGAGGTGAGGCAGGAGGGCTGCTGCCTGATGCCCAGTATTTGGTGGGGCTGCTCAGCTGCTAATGGGCAGCGTGGCTGCAGCAGACTGCTGTGCTTGCCCTGCCTTGCAGCTGCTCTGCGGACGGCAGCAGCCATCAGCACCGAGGTGAAAGAGGGACAGCATTCCTCCAGTGCAGGAGGAGTCAGCAGCAGCCTGTTTTGCCTTCAGTGCTGATGCATGGACAGCATTTCCTAGCCATCACTAAATGTGTAACGTTATGACCTTCATGTTTTCACCGAGCTTCTTGAATGTTACGGTTAATTATGCGACTGAAATGACTGGGGGAAGAAAAAAAAAGAGTCTTGGAGGAAATTAAACTGTGTCCCTTTAACAGTCATGCAGAGAGCTATTTTCAGGTTAGACACGGAAAACACTTTGAAAAAGAGGTTAATTAGCATTTCCAAAGGACATCCGAAAACTATGACTATTGAATACTGTGGGGACGGGAACGCGGCCTGCCAGCCTGCCCCAGCCCAGCGCACATCTGGGCAGATGCGGGTGGCGGTGAGGGTGGGCAGGCCGCCTGCCTCGGGCCGTAGTTAAGGCGCTGGGCAACTTTAAACGCGTCTGCGGATGCCTCAGACGGCGGTCAGTTTTCTCTTGGAGGGAAGAGCCTCGCAGCCCGGCACGCCTGCGATCCCGATGAGCAGATCGCAACTTTGAGGTCCTCCAAGTACGCTGCTAGAGAGGAAGGACCTGTGTGCTGGGATACGGGAGCGGGGCCGGCTGCCTCCGCACGGCCTCGGGACGGCACCGCCCTGCCGTAGGAGCGGCGGGCACGCAGGTACAGCGCGGCCGGGAGCGACCGGAGGGGAGAGAGGTGCGCGCTGCCCCGCGGGAGGCCGGGCTACCTCAATGCATCTCAACCTGGATCTGTACGACGCGCCCGGGGGCCAGTCTCTGCCCTTGAAGTGGGCTGCCGGGGACGGGCAGCTTCCTCCCGGCCCCTTCCCCTCCCCGGGGCGGGCTCGGTCCCCGCCGCAGCCGCGGTGCGGGCGGCCCTCAGGCTGCGGCTGGGCGGCGGGCGCTCCCCCCCTCGCCCTCCGGTAGGCGGCACCGGCACCCGCCTTCCTCCTCCGCCTCCTCCTCCTCCTCCTCACCTTCTCCGGGCGCCGCAGGAGCGGAGCAGGGCGACCCGGATCTCGGCGCCGCACCGCCCAGCGACGGCGGCCCGGGACGCGCCATGGGGCTGTAGCGGCGCGGTGAGTGGGCGGCGCGGCGCGGCCCGAGGCCCGCGGGCGGCTCCGGGGGTGGCGGCGGGCGGGGTGGCCGGGCCCGGGTCCGATGCCGGGAGCGAAGTTTTGCCCCTCGGGGACGCGGGAGGACCCCGTGCCCGCCGCAGGCCGCTCTGCTGGGCGTCGCCGCGGCCCGGGGAGCGGAGCTCAGGGGCTCGGGGTTCTGCTGGCGCTGCTCCCACCCCCGAGTGGTGATGGAGCGGAGAAGTTCCGCGCGATCCCGAGTTCAACTCCGGGACCGATGCTTTGTGCCGGATCCGTCCTCTCCGCTGCCGCTTTCCCTGCGTTTCCGTGAGAAGGGTTAAAGCGGAGCGGCTGAGGGGGTCGGAAGGGGACGCGGCGTTGTCCCGTTCCGGCTCGGCAGGTAGCTGGATTTGTGACAAAGGCGTTTGGAACAAAGGAGCCATGTTAGCAACTGTTGGAAATAAATTAATTCTGCGGCTCGCACGCTTTAGTAAACCCGGTTTTTCATTCATCTCTCCCCTGTCCCCGCCCTCGGCCAGCCCAGTGTATCCCGAAGTGAAATGGGAGAAATGGCATCGCTTCCCTAAACCCGCATCATCCCCTGCACCGCTGCTGACGCGCGATTCACCTCCCGCTTCAAACAGTTATGCGTTTCTGAAGAGCATCATTTTGTGCTGGGAGAGCCTCCAAGAGCTGAGGCAGCGGTGTGCTTGTGATGCAAACGTCTCCTCACCCTGAAACCAGTCTGTTTGTACCCGAGTTTATTTGACGTTTTTGAGGAACACAAATCCATAAGTCTTACTGCTTTTGGGGAAAGCCTGCTTTTCTTTGACTTTTTGGTTATGTGGAACATTGCGTTTCCAAACTGAATAGATAGAGCTACATCTAGAAATATCTCCTGCCTTGTTCAGTTCTCATAATTTGTGCATTGCTTTCAGCAGTATTTCAGCTGAAACAAGTGCAAAGCCACACTCCTGTAGCACTAGACTTATCAGCAGGGCTAATAGATGCTTAGAGACAGGAAGCCTATGGTTCTTCAGGAATGAAATCATGTGACAGCACCAGATACTGTATGTATGCTGGCAGAAAAACAGTAGAAAATACTTCCAGGAAAGCACTAAACAATAGGAAATGAGCTAACAACACATTGGTTAACTTTCCTGCTGGCTTGCTGATGAATAATACAGTACTTTTTGCTATGAAACTTGCTAGGGCTGAGTGTATAACTGAAATGTCCACATTTCAGGGACAGCTGTGGGACAGCATTGTATTATTGGCTGCAATTGCACTGGGCTCTTGTAAGCCCAAGGGTCTCCTCTGGTTCAGTGATCTTTCTGTCACTCTTGACCTGGAATTACAGTCCCTCAATGTAACCGATGTTAGCAAAACCTGTTCAGTTGTACATACAGGCACGGGTGGTAAACAGAGCCAGGGCAGCTTTATTTCTCCCAGGGGGCCATGTGAAGTGTTAGCGGTGAATTGCAAGAGCAAGCCAGGGCTGCCTGGAGATCTGATCTTGCATGGCTTAATGTTCTCTCTCATTAGGCTTTTTTTTTTTTTTTTTTTTTTTTTTTAATGAACATCTTGTTCTTCTTCATTGGAAAGCTTGTTTTATATGACATTCCTTTGGAATCTTTGGCTCTATAATGTAGGCCAGAAGACTGCATGGGAGAATTTACCTTTCTTGAATACAGGCTTTGGAAGCAGACTCTGATCTTTAAAGAAGGCAGGTCTTGCTGGAATACTGGGGAGGAAGACAATTGGTGAAATTCCAGTCAGGAAAGGGGGATAAACTGAAGAAAAACGAAACAAAAAAATAAAACTTATGTGAAGAGATGCAGGGAATGGCCACGGCAGCACAGCACTGAGACTGTGATTCAGGCTTAACATCCTCAGTATCTGCAAGCACTGAGCTGTGCTCCATGCCATGTGCCAACACTGAGCTGGGAGATGTGTGGCAGCACCTGAGCTTGAGCTGGAAATGCTGCTTGCTCCTGTCAGGCTGTGGAAAGAGAAGTGAGATAGCAGGAGCTGCAGGAGGCAGCCTCCTGAGTCACTTCACATCATGTATGGGGCTGCCTGAGCATTTCTTTTCAGGGCGAAGTCAGACATTGAAGGTGGGAAGCTAACCTGTCTGACTTTGCCTTGAAACAAACTATGGATATGTTTACACTAGCAGGTTGGTTTGCAGCCAGCCTGAGTATCTGACACATCCTCTGGAGACCTTCTCCTGTGTCCCTGTGCTGGTTCAGGTCTCAGCAGTCTCACTACAAGAGAACTGAACTCCAAAGAAACGAAGCCAGGAGTCCTGCTCCAGAGCACTCCCCGTCAATGATGTAGTCTCCTGTAAAGGATGTTGATTTCAAGACTCAGCTGTAATCAAGTGAGCAGTTCCCATCCACCCACGCACAAAACCAATTAAGAGCCCCACACCAGCTTGGTGAGCTTAAAACACTCCTGGCAGTTCATTCTCAAGTGAGCTGTCCCTCGCTTCCAACAAGATGTGAGCAACCACTTCTCAGCTTTCTGCTGCAGCTGAGAGGCCCTTCACAAGTTAGTTTCCAGCACTCGTACTGAATATCATACCTGACTGTAACCAAGTGCCTGGGCTTGGTGTTTTTAATGTGTGCTAATCTGCCTGCAGGTCCCTAGGCTTAGTGCTCAGTTATGTTCCAGCCAGCTACAGTCACAGATGTACAGAGGAGCATGGAGAATAGGAGAAATGCAAGAGTGAAAAGATGGGATTTGAAAAAAAATACTTGTAGATTGAACAGGTGAAATGGCAGCTTGTGAGAGAAGATTTGGGAGGTACAGTCTAGCACTTTCACTATAGGAAACCATGTATCTGTGAGCTATCTCCTTTCTGATATCAGTTACTGCATCCAGCATTACTTCACATGCATTTTTTTCTTCTTAATACACATGCATATACTAATAGTTTAGCTCAGACTGCTTTTGGAAGCAAATGTTCCAGCTCTCTCTGCTTTTTTTTTTTTTTTTTTTTTTTTTTTTTTTTTTTTTTTTTTTT